TGATCTACAGCTTTCAATCCAGTGGTGGTGCTCCCAGTGGTAAGGTAAGAATTATGCACTCACCAGAAGCGTAATTTAATAACGCAGTATGTAAATCAACACGGATCCACTTCACCGATCTAGGTCCAGACTGGAACTCAGGGTAGGTTTTCCTTCAGGATGATATAGGTATGAGCCATTAATGGATGTAGGTAGATCCAGCTGGCCAGAGGTCACTTTAAGGGATAGGTGGGTATAGATACCAGTTTACAGGTGCTTCCCTCTCTGGGTCTGGTGGACAGGAGACTGTGGTGCTCCCAGTGGTAATAGAAAGACATCTCTCTACTAGTAATGATGTGGATGCACTGGGCAGGCTAGATACTGAGCCATGGGGAGCAGAAAAGACCTGTAAAAAGGCTTGCAAGGAGCTATATTATTTATAGATCCCTGCTGCGATCCAGTCTCCTGTCCACCACTCAAAAGGAGGCGGATGTCCTTGTCCCTGATTTCCCTGTACTGTCCACATTCTACCACCTATCAAAAACCCACAAAGGTTCGCATCCATTACAAGGGAGGCCTATCATTTCGGGTATCGGGTCTTTAAATAAGTATCATTGGATTGGATCATTGGTTGGATACACAGCTTCATCCTCTTGTTGTAGACACCAATCACCTACTTCACATCACATATTGCCTTTGCTGGGACGACAGTCTCATGTGGGTCACCTGTGATGTTGTCAGTTTATACTCTTCCATACCTCATCTTGCTATAAAAGCGATATCTTTTTATTTGGAATCTAGTACAAGGCTTAGCATTGAACTTCGTTTATTTGCTTTAGATGTGTTAGAATTTCTACTTACCCATAATTTCTTTATTTTTAATAGTGAGTTTTTTATCCAAATGAGTGGAGTCGCAATGGGAGCCAAATTCTCACCATCCCTAGCCAACCTTTATATGGGTTGGTAGGAGCGGTCACATATGTATTGTATGGGCAACCCCTCTAGACGTCCTTATATTCATTGTAGATAAAGGTTGTAGATAAAGGTTTGGGAGACTTACAGGTTTTTTTTGTCTTATTTAAATAATAATGACAAGAACCTGTCATTCACAGGACAGTCAGACGAGAGAGAGATTGTCTTTCTCGACGTCTGTCTAACCGGTGATAATTGTAGAGTTACCACTAGTCTATACAGGAAATCCTTGTCTGGTAACACTCTTTTGTTAGCCCAATCGGGTCATCCTAAACATATTATTAAAAGAAGAAACTTTTTATGTATTCGCCGCATTTGTAGTGCCCAACAGGATTTTTAAAAAGAGGCTCTTGCTCTATGCCAGCATTTTCTATAATAGGGGATACCCCAAGTGGATGCTAGATAGAGCATATTGTATAGCTAGTTCTAAACTGAGGGAAGATCTTTTATTAAAGAACAAATCATGTATTGAGAGTGATAGTAATATAAATGACAATGTTAATATAAATAAATCTAATAAAAGAAATCTTACTTTTTTCACTCCATTTAGTCTGGAATTTAATGAGATTAAATGCATTGTTACCCGTTATCTTCCTGTCCTATGTGAGGACCAAATATGTGCAAACATACTCAAGGATGGCATCAGCGTAATTTCAAAAAGAGCCCCCACTCTAGCTAACTCTTTGTCTTCCAGTTTCTACAATCCCATACAAGCTCAATTCACAACGTGGTTGTATTTTAAAGGCAACTATCGTTGTGGTGCGCTCTCCTGCCCATGTTGCACACATATTTTGAAGTGCAATAAATTTCAGTCTACTGTCAACAATAAAGAATACAGTATTGCTTCCTTCTTTAATTGTAATACTTATTTGATTTATTTTATCACTTGTAAACGTTGCCACGTTCAGTACGTGGGACACACAACTAGAAGTTTAAGGGATCGCTTTTATGAAAATCTATATAGCATAGAAAGACATCTCTCTACAAGCGTAGTCCGTCATTTTAATAATTGTCATGCAGGAGATATTACGGCAGTACAGGTGCAGGTCATTGAAAAAATCCGAACTCAAAAAAGAGGTGGCGATACTTTTTTGCGGTTATGCAAAAGGTAGGTATTCTGGATATTCCATCTAAGTACACGTGTCCCACAGGGTTTGAACTATGAATGGGACATTACATATTTTTAGGACTGACAGAGAGCATTTGCCCAGTATTCCCTTTACTTTTGCATTTAGGTACATATGTGCACATATATATATACACGTGCATCCACACTTTTACTATATTTATTAGATTATCTTACATATATATTTGTTTATACCTCATTATTTAGTCTATATGTTGGATGCCTTGCATGGGTAGTTAGGTGCATTAAGCATTTTATATGTGTTCATCTATTTGTATATGCTCCTAGTTATATGAAATATATACATATATATTTTCTTATTCTGCTTTTTTTTGCCATAATATGTTTCTCTCTTCTCCTTTAGGATTCTTTCTCTGATTTTTGATGTTCTATTTTTGATGTAGCTTTTTGCTGATATACTTCTGTCTGAATATGTATGGTTTATATGATTTTATCCCAAGTAGACATGCATTTTTTGTACATACAGATGAAACTCGAAAAATTATAATATCGTACAAAAGTTAATTTATTTTAGTAATGCAACTTAAAAGGTGAAACTAATAAATGAGATAGACTCATTACATGCAAAGCAAGATAGTTCAAGCCGTGATTTGTCATAATTGTGATGATTGTGGCTTACAGCTAATGAAAAGCCCCCAAATCCACAATCTCAGAAAATTAGAATATTGTGAAAAGGTGCAATATTCTAGGCTCAAAGTGTCCCACTCTAATCAGCTAATTAAGCCATAACACCTGCAAAGGGTTCCTGAGCCTTTAAATGGTCTCTCAGTCTGGTTCAGTAGGAATCACAATCATGGGAAAGACTGCTGATCTGACAGTTGTGCAGAAAACCATCATTGATACCCTCCATAAGGAAGGAAAGCCTCAAAAGGTAATTGCAAAAGAAGCTGGATGTTCCCAAAGTGCTTTATCAAAGCACATTAATAGAAAGTTATGTGGAAGAGAAAAGTTTGGAATAAAAAGGTGCACAAGCAGCAGGGATGACCGCAGCCTGGAGAGGATTGTCAGGAAAAGGCCATTCAAAAGTGTTGGGGACTTTCACAAGGAGTGGACTGAGGCTGGAGTCAGTGCATCAAGAGCTACCACACACAGACGGATCCTGGACATGGGCTTCAAATGTCGTAATCCACTTGTCAAGCCGCTCCTGAACAGCAAACAACGTCAGAAACGTCTTACCTGGGCTAAAGAAAAACAGACCTAGTCTGTTGCTCAGTGGTCCAAAGTCCTCTTTTCTGATGAGAGCAACTTTTGCATCTCATTTGGAAACCAAGGACCCAGAGTATGGAGGAAGAATGGAGAGGCACACACTGCAAGATGCTTGCAGTCCAGTGCAAAGTTTCCACAGTCTGTGTTGATTTGGGGAGCCATGGCATCTGCTGGTGTTGGTCCACTGTGCTTCATTAAGTCCAGGGTCAATGCAGCCATCTACCAGGAGATTATGGAGCACTTCATGTTTCCTTCCGCAGACGAGCTTTATGGGGATGCTGACTTAATTTTCCAGCAGGACTTGGCACCTGCCCACACTGCCAAAAGCACCAAAACCTCGTTCAATGACCATGGGATTACTGTGCTTGATTGGCCAGCAAACTTGCCTGACCTGAACCCCATAGAGAATCTATGGGACATTGCCGAGAGAAAGATGAGAGACATGAGACTGAACAATGCAGAAGAGCTGAAGGCCGCTATTGAAGCATCTTGAAGCATCAACACAGACTGTGGAAACTTCACACTGAACTTCAAGCATCTTGCAGTGTGTGCCTCTCCATTCTTCCTCCATACTCTGGGCCCTTGGTTTCCAAATGAGATGCAAAAGTTGCTCTCATCAGAAAAAAGGACTTTGGACCACTGAGCAACAGACTGGGTCTGTTTTTCTTTAGCCCAGGTAAGACGCTTCTGACGTTCTTTGTTGTTCAGGAGCTGCTTGACAAGAGAAATACGACATTTGAAGCCCATGTCCAGGATCCGTCTGTGTGTGGTGGCTCTTGATGCACTGACTCCAGCCTCAGTCCACTCCTTGTGAAAGTCCCCAACACTTTTGAGTGGCCTTTTCCTGACAATCCTCTCCAGGCTGCGGTCATCCCTGCTGCTTGTACACCTTTTTCTTCCACACTTTTCCCTTCCACATAACTTTTCTATTAATGTGCTTTGATACAGCACTTTGGGAACATCTAGCTTCTTTTGCAATTACCTTTTGAGGCTTTCCCTCCTTATGGAGGGTGTCACTGATGGTTTTTCTGCACAACTGTCAGGTCAGCAGTCTTTCCCATGATTGTGATTCCTACTGAACCAGACTGAGAGTCCATTTAAAGGCTCAGGAACCCTTTGCAGGTGTTATGGCTTAATTAGCTGATTAGAGTGGGACACTTTGAGCCTAGAATATTGCACCTTTTCACAATATTCTAATTTTCTGAGATTGTGGATTTGGGGTTTTCATAAGCTGTAAACCATAATCATCACAATTATGACAAATCACAGCTTGAACTATCTTGCTTTGCATGTAATGAGTCTATCTCATATATTATTTTCACCTTTTTAACCTCCCTGGCGGTATGATTATTTCAGATTTTTGGTGCTGAAAGCGGTACCATTATTTTGCATGGAAATTTGGCGTTTTATATTGTAGGCCTGTAATTCTTAGGAATAACTCACTGAAATCTGTCTGAACAAGAGTCTAGTAAACATCCCGGGTAGGATAAAACTTGAAACACGAAATCATAAATTATAATTTAATAAATAATCATAAAAAATAATAATATAATAATAATAAATTTAATTCAATAATATAATCAAACCAAAAACACTGAAATTTGAAATATAGCGCCAAGTTCACACATCACTGAGCAAAGTCGCAAAATAGTTTTCAGTGTCTGATGACGAATTTCCCCACAAATCATTATCACTCAATTCTGCAAGTGGTTCTGATTTACTATCACTGTTCTCTAGCTGGTCTAAAACCTCTTTTGACCTAAAGGGACGCTTTTTGGACGCCATGGACGTTTCTCAGTTTCCAGACAGAAAGGGCGGTAAAAATGCAGGCAGGGCACAGGACAAAGCACTAGGGACAAAATGTATGTGAAATGGTTTGATACAGTAATGTTTTCTATGTGATTTTAGTGAATGTCACTTTTTTTCATTTTCAAATTTCCCGCGGTTCCGTCCCCCGTACGTCCCGACGCTCGCAGGGGACGGAACCCAGAAGACAGATGCCAGCATCCGCCGGAGGACATTGCCGGGGACACTGCAGGAGGGACATCGCGGGAGCGCAGGACAAGGTAAGTGATCGAGGGATCGCAGAGCAGTGCCGCATGGTATTCCCGAGTGTAGCTTGGGGTTACCGCTTGTGGTACTGAAATTTTACCCCGAGCTACACTCGGGAATACCACCAGGGAGGTTAAGTTGCATTGCTGAAATAAATTAACTTTTGCACGATATTCTAATTTTTCGAGTTTCACCTGTATTATTTGTATTTTTGATTATTTACACATGTGGTTTTTATGCTTTTATGTATTTGTTTCCTTGGGGATATTCATTTCACCCATTTGTTTGTATTTGTATTTTTCCTACTTTAAATTTAAAATTTTTAATCCTCTCTTCTTTTTCTTTTTTCTTCTCCGTTTTTTTTTTTTGTTTTCTTCTCTCTCCCTCTTTTTGTCGTTATCATCTTTTCCTGACACAATGGTTGTTCTATATATATGTTTGCTATATTGAATCAGTAGGCGTATCCTCAGGATTCGAGAGCGCTGATTAAGACAGGTGTTTTTCACTTACTAATGCCTATATAAGACAGCATTCTCAATGTTTTCTTTGTTATGATTAAGCAGGTGATTGTGTGAAACGCGTTAACAAGTCCTGTACACATGTCCTGGTGTTTTTTGTGTCCTATGGATCAATAAATATATGTTACTATTCATCAATCCTCCGGTGTATGGCTAACCCTTCTTTCTATTGCATGTACAGTACATTTCTAGACAACTTGAATGAACAATCTTTTCACATTGGATTTCTCATCTGAAGGCAAATGAATGATCGCACACAATAGACATGCACATTTTCTGTACCTGAAACCATCGTTTCAATCTGACACTATCTGTATGAGCAATCATCGTAACTGGAGTAATTGTTACAGTTAATGTAAAAATCTTTCATGCATCTGATCTGTATCATATTTGGCAAGCTCTGGCTACCATCTATGGCTAGCCTTAAAGTGGAAATGGGCAAATAAAAAAATGACAATATGATGCAGTCTGTCCCCAGCATCAACACAGCTGTTTTTCTGAGTCTTCCTGTAACATAGATTTACTATCCATTAATCCTGCCAGTAGAACTTTTTTTTAACATGGTGACAATGCTGTTCATTCTTGCACTAAAATCTTCATGCAGTATTATCATTTTGTAAACAAGGTAGTTTTAGATAGACATGTCGTTTTAAATGGACTAGGTATGCAATAAACAAACACCATCCTAGGTAGATAAAACAGTGCTTTTGCTTGTTTTGGAAAAAAGGCTTAAATCAGTGGTCTCCAAACTGTGGCCCGGGGGCCAGATGTGGCCCTTCGCTCACCTTTATCTGGCCCTTGGGGCACTTTTTCTCCCACAGATACAAGACACTATATCTCCCACTGACACCAACAATGGGGGCATAATTCCTGCTACTGACATCAAGGAGGCACTATTTCACCTATTGACACCTATGATCGGCATTATTCCTCAAACTGACACCAACGATGGGACACTTTCCTCACACTATTACCAAGCATAGGACACTATTCCTCCCAATGACACCAATAATGGGGCGCTATTTCTCCCACTGACACCAATGATGGGGCAACATTCCTCCCACTGACACTAGTGATGGGGCACTATTTCTCCCATTGATACCAATGATGGGGCACTATTCCTCCCACTGATACCAATGACAGGGTACTATTCCTCCCACTGATACCAACAATGGGGTACTATTCCTCCCACTGACACCAATGATGGGGAATTATTTCTCCCACCAACACCAATGATGAGGTCATTTACCATTGAGGTACCTTCCTCCCACCAACACCAATGATGGGGTACCATTTCTCCCACCAACACCAATGAGGGGGCAGTATTCCTCCCACTGTCTCACCTATTGACACCTATGATCGGCATTATTCCTCAAATGTCAACTGACACCAACGATGGGACACTTTCCTCGCACTATTACCAAGCATAGGACACTATTCCTCCCAATGACACCAATAATGGGGCGCTATTTCTCCCACTGATACCAGGACAATTTCTACTTCCACTGGCCACAGTCCAGCCCCCTTAAAGTCTGAAGGACAGTAAACTGGCCCTTTGTTTAGTAAGTTTGGAGACCCCTGGTTTGAATCATTGGAACAAAAGCAGACTGTTTTAAGCACCCGCGGCTGTGTTATATGGTTTGTCCCAACCCCTCTAACTGTCACTTCTGCTTGACAGTTTGGTCAGTATGTAAATGTGGGAAAAAAATAAACAAAGATGTAAAAAATTTAAAAAATTCATGTATTGAATATCATCATACGTGTTTCAACCACCAGTTACCAGAATACAATAAATGGGTAAACAGTTGATGTCTTCTTTCAGTTTGCATGACAACATGGATAACCCAGGTGAACTAAAACTTGCCTTCATACTCAGCACAAAAAGCAGTGTTTAGGAGATGCAATCCCAGGGTGTGCACTGCACATTAGGAACATTACACTTTTCTTTTCATGCAAGGTAAAGAAAAAAAAGAAGAAATATAAATGAGATGCAAAGTTTACATTTAAAATGGTATTGTTCTTTGCCTAATCTGGCCACCATCCGAGTGGTGATCTGGCTATTAGATAAAAAGGAGAAGAATGGAAAACATTGGCAGGGATTGAAGTCAGGGGATGAATGTGGAAATGTAGAATGATTGTTTCTTTTTTCCCTGTCTTTCAGCTGACGGTTGTTTCTGTCTGTTTTTTAGAACTGATCCAAGGGGAGAGGGAAAGTCAGTGTGGGGAGCTTTAAGGAAGACCCCTTTCTACAGCTGCGGCTGAGAGGATTAAAGTGCTTCATATACAAGGCAACATTACGCAAGTAGCCTTTGAACAAAAGTCATGGATACTATTAATGATATGGTAATCCTTAATCGAGCTACCTCCCAGTAGTGATTATACTGACATGGGAAGAATATATAAGTCGGGGATGCATCCCACAAACAACACTGTTCTATTGTCCTGGCCAAGCTTGAGCAGGACTAACTTTAGTTGCATCTATAGCGTCACTTTTCTCCTCTATGTATAGAAAGAACAAAAATCTGAACCTAAGGCTGGATTTGCTTCCTGCAAGTTCCCACACACATCTTGTGTCATTTAGAAGGGAACACATCCCTGACAACCTTCAGGATTGATGCCTATCTGAGAGCTGGGACCACACAAAGGTTACTTTTGGAGGTCTGGCAGAAGATGATTTAATTGCTCTACAATCATGCATCTCTTTCTCTCCAGCTTTATTTATTGTAAATTAAGAAATCCAGCAGCAAGTACTTTTTTCTGGATACCTGTATGTTCCTCAGAAATTTGGCTGATTTGATAGTGTTTCTTTTTAAGTAAAACTTGCAGCTGCTCTTCAAACACTGGCTGTCCATCAGCCGGAGAAAAGCCTATGTCAACATTTTACTTCTATTCTCCTTTCTAAAAAGAGTAAATATACTACATGGAAAGGGGCGTTAGAACATGGGTAAAGACATATGGGAGGATTTGACAATGACAACAAAGTTGATCCTCAAGCAATAGTGGTAAAAAAACAGCATTTAATTTAGATTAAACAGTAAAACTCGTTTTTTAATTAAAAACTATTAAAATAATCTGCACAGCAAAGCTATTTAAATGTACAATATTTAGTATAGATAATGTTACTTTTACATCCATCTACACCAATATTATGAGCAGCCCTTTTTCTTTGGGGTGCACTTATAAGGAAACTGCAAACTACTTTAGGCTCACGCCTTGGTTTGGTTTATATAATGAATTTGCCCTCCACTTTCCAGGTTGTTACAAAATAGTGATCAATCGGTTGTCAGGCTGGGAAAAAGAGCATACCTGGCTTTTTAAAAGCTTTGAAAGGCTGAGAAAAAGTGTCAGATATTTGTAAAAACTGCCTAATTTGCAACAAACTGTTATTCGTGTATAAAGTAAGATTTTAAGACTTGTATTACAGGTAAATAATACACCACTGTTATATTAGTGTTCTAATTCTGCAAAAAACAAATATCCAGCTTCTTAAACACTAGCCACAATTTGGTTGGATACAAATGTGACTTCTTCAGGATCCTGATCCTGAGGCAGTCACGTGAACGTGACGCAACGCAGAGATGCGACGTGGTGACGCAGTTCCGGCGGAGCACCATCTTGGTACACCAGGTTCTTACACAGTACACCCATACTCTGTGGCATGACAGCCTGATTTTGACCTACTGAATGTGAGTGTTTACTTGCCATTTTTACATGTTCACACTGCAATAAAAAACAGTGTTGCACTATGGAAGATCTGTTCTTTGTCCTTTCATGGCCTTAATATGGTACATAAATATTGGCTGCACTACGTTTACCTGTTTCTGGAAGAGCGATCCACGTTATAAGCGAGCTACCAGTGAAGGTCTGTGGAACCAGAGGAGCCTGTTTGATCTGGAGAGATTTCCTGTATAGGATCCAGATTGATCCATAAGGCGTGTTGACCCTTTGGGTCGCATTCAGGATCTGACACAAATACAGAGCCCATTCTGGAAGATGGCAGAGGTGCTGCAGATAACCCAGGGGAAGGGGATCTCTCTGACCAGACCAGGCTGTTTACATTCCTAAGGGGACCTCCGGCTGACAACTTTATACACAAGTGCGTATTATGATTACGCATCTGGTGACTGCGTAATCTTAACGTATTCTCGGCACATCACCTGAATGACCATTAGAAGTATACGGAGCACTTATCAGAGACCATTTTGGATGGATCTTCACAATTAATATTTTGTGGACATGTCACAAATTGCAGTGTGGATTTTTTAGCACTATGACGTGCTCATGATTGTCACTTCAGTAGCACTTTATTGTGGATATATTATATTAACACTTTATTTGCACTGTGTCACCTGATATGGGTATACCATTAATCATTTAAATTTATACATCATTTTATATATATTTATTGCATATTGTGCATTTTAGTGATTTACTCTGATATTTTATTTTAGCGCTGCACCTATATTTATCTAAATTA